TTGGTACAGTAAAAGGTTTTGATAGTGCACATCACAGAAAAGCATTATTAGAAGCAAATCGAAAATGTATGACATCGATTGTCAAAAGGATCTTGTACGTACTGTCTAAGGTTGTAGTCTATGTTGTGTACGAAGTAATATTTTGTTACGTACCTCTAAAGTTGGTTTTATACACGAGAAAGTAAAAGTGTTTGTTAAGTACCGCCTGTCTACATGACAAAAAGCGAAAACACGTTTGTTACGTACCGGATAAGGGGTTTTGTTTTTGGCACACCCAGTAAGCGTGTTCAGAGACTTCGACATACTCCGCGGATGAGAAGGGACTGTTCCAGTTGTGAAATCCGTCACCACAAGGAGTCAGTTGATCTGACTTTCCATTACTTTGACAAATTGTGAATGTTCCTATCAAAAAGAATATGTAAGAAACAATGAAAAAAAATTAGTGGGTAATAACAGAGATGTTTTTTTATACAGCAATAACATATTGATTTTGGTTTTTGCAGGTTTAGAGAATGTGTAAGAAAGGTATAGTTTTACCGTTCCATCCGTAGACTGGTGTACAGCATCGGCACAAGCTGATGGCTCCTTGTTGATAGTGCAAGGTGGTTCCCGGAATAGCAACGGAACAATTCCAGTTGAAATCTGTCGGCGAGCAATAAGTCTTAGGTTGACTCTAAAAGAAAGAAATATAACATATTTATTACATTTTTGCCAGTGAAATATCAGGATCTATCAACTTGATAAAACTGATATCTTTCACACTGTGACAAATATCAAAAGTGAAATTTTTTACATTATGGTATTGACCAATCATAACAGTATCTTCTATTCGCTGCATTCGAAGGCAACGATTTTTTGTTCAGATTCAAATGAAGCGACGGTAGAATAAGTGGTTGTTATGGTAAATTATTGGTACACACACTTATGTATTTAAATAATTATACAATTAATAACATTTTTATGAGCAATAATAACAGAAAATAGCAAAGAATCGCGTTGAGTTTCCCATTCAAAATGGCACGTATCCTTGTGGTCAAATGTGACGTCATTAGAATATGGCGCTAATTATTACGCTTCTGATTCCCGCCCGTTTTGAATGCATTTCATTTTTCATGTTTTATACTTTAGAAATGTAATAAATAGAAATTTTAATGGTGTCTTCAGTAATAACCCTGGTAGCATGTTCACAATCGTTTAAATTGTTTTGTTGTTAATATAGATATTTATGGAGTTTCGGCAACCAATACAAACGGAGCAAGCGATATCCTTATCAGTAGTCGATATTTGGAACGATTGTTATACAGAAATATGGTTAGCTGGTATACCGTATTTTGAATAACTGAAATAATTATACACACTGTGCCTGTAGCTTCCATTGTTATCATGCAAACCTAGTTCATTTTGCAAGCAGGAAATGTTAAAATGTTTGTTGACAGTTAAAAAAAATCATAGCCCGACCTCATTATGTCTCATTCGATTGGATAATGAAAAACATTAGAATTAAATATGAATTTCGAAGTATCCAAGTTTGTGATACAAAGGTTTGATTAATAATCTTATTACAAAGTATAACCTTTTTGTCCAGTACATCGTATGATAAGAGTTTTCCCCTGCACTATGCGTCACTTTCTTTTTCCTAAATGCTGCGTTTCTTTTTCTTTTTTTTTTTACATTGTGTTAAAGGGGCATCACGTTGAAGTAACTATTTTTTGTGTCTTTTTTTTCAAATACTACATAAACATATCAAGTGAGACTCCTTATGGAAAATAACGATTTGGCTGAAATAGATTCATAAAAATGATTAAATCTAAGATAATCATCGGTATTTCTACCTGTCTGACCAGCGTTTTGTTCAGGGATTTCCCTCTACTAGCGCATGCGCATAGCACACCATTTCTTTGTAATCAGCTACGAAGCGAAAAGTTGCCAAATGGTCAAAAGATAGCGCAAGGGGTACGTTACGGAATCATTATTGCCAGTGGGAAGTATTCAAAGCAGAAAATAACTGCCCTATGCCCTAGCAGTTAGTACGGTGCATGTATTCTTCCGGATTGCCGGTTAAGCTGAAATGAAATCGACAGAAATGCTAGCGCTGTTTATGTTATGGATAAATATCTAAAACTATTAACTTCGCTAGTAGTAGTATCATTGTGTGGGTTTGAACACAGATGAACTTAGTTTAATATGTTAATGGACATGTATCGGAGAGAGTTTACTTTGTGTTTCTATAATTATACAGTGGTTCATGCGAAAGGAAGGGATAAGTGACTGGTTAGTTTGATTTTGCCATGAGGCCCTCCAAGGGATACCTGTTGTGATGGCCACGGCGTATTCTGTTCTGTCCTCTGTCGGTACTCGGGGTCAAATGAGATATGTGCGCTATTAGATTTACATAATTTATAATATTAACGGGATCAGTAAAATGGTATGATTTAATTATATTGCTGAATTAATCGATTTTGTTTTGTTTTGACATGCAAGATTTAAATTAGTACTAATATGAATACCCGGCCTCCTCTGGCGCGACGACGCAATATATAAAAAAATCGCTCTTCGTCAGAAAGCTACGTTATCGCAGCTAGATTAAAAATGTCAAAATGACGGACCAGGATGAATAACTGAGGAAGAAGAACCTACTTCTAGTAAATAGGATCGCATAACA